ACCTGAAGGAAAAGGGACAAGGCGGGGGAAGGGCGCGGGAAGTCAAAATATGGTTAGCAGTACGACACAACTAACACACACATAATTAGGTGACAGTTGCAAGCAAGGGTACCGCTGCTGGTCCNCACGACGCACACCCCATGCACCAAAACCCCAAGCCCATCCGCACCCACCTCAGCCGGGTCCATCATCAGCAACGCCCGCTCGGTGCCACTGGGGCGCACAGGTTGATGCCCCAGCCGCACCTGAAGAGGAGGTGCGTGATAAAGGGGGAAACGGCCAGAGGGGATAGGTAAGGGGGCAGCATACACGGGGGGGAGGGGGGTAAAACACCAAATNGTCATTATTTTGCCCAAAAGTCACAAGGCCTCGTTGCGACACGTGCGCTGCGGCCCTGCGGCCTTTTTCCACGACCACTAGTTGAACCCAAATCACGAAGTACGCACCACACCCACACCCACGTCGCCCACCCACCCATCCACCCACCTGAGACGGGCGTTATAAAAGTACGGCCGGCCCCTGCGTGCGGGTGCCGGCAGGCCGGACGACTCGTACGCCCCGAGTCCCGGCAGCCAGTCGACCCTGCATTCGGGTCCTGGCACCAGGGAAGCTGCCGCAAACCCTGGCGATAAAGGGCCCGGGCCATGGCCACTGCTGCAGCTGCTTGCTGATCTGCCGGCTGCTGCTGCTGCTGCTGCTGCTGCTGACTACATAATGAAAAAAGTAAAAATACGGTGACAGGAGGTGCAAAGGCCTGGGAAAACCCATAACCTCTACAACCCCGGCACCCTAATGCACGCCTTAGCTCATTAGGCTGAGGCGCATTACTAATCTATAATAAGATATTTAAAACAGAGTAAATAAATAAGTAAATAAATAAAGCGGAAATAGATATCATGGTTCAGCTTTATTTATTCATCTATTATTTAATAAGGTGTAGCCTCCCCTTAATTAGGTAGTCCCCAAACAAATAAAAATCAATTGTGCACAACCAGGGCTGTGGGCACCACAAACGAAAACACGACAGACTGTACACGCGCGGCAACAGCCGTGACCGCGCACACTCGCTGATGCTGGTTGTTGGCTGCTGGCTGATAGCTGCATAGCGTAGCCCATTTAGGCAATATAACTGGCTGCAGCTGCTGGCTGGTTAGATAACGCTAGCTACCATCCACAAAACCCAGCGACGACAATAAAACCGGCCGGTCACCACCAACTGTCCACCAACTGTCCACCAACTGGATCAACATCTGCCAACCTCTTCCAACCAAACATATCTCCAACGGACAACTTCCACCATGACAACCATATTTCTCGACCCGATCCTCCATATCTTTGGACTCCCTTATTTTCCTGCTTTGAACTAGTCCTTCCGTTTGCAACGAATGTCGTGGTTTGAGCAAGGATGTCTCCCTTTTCATCTTTCTTTTGTGCACGGTAGTTTGAAAGCAGAACTTCTGTAGCGTGGGTGGGCACGAAGAGCCACAGCGGCGGCCGGGGAGGGAAATGCACCGCAAAAAGGTAGCGGTGGCAGCAAGCCCAGAGGAGAAGAGCCACAGCGGCGGCCGGGGAGGGAAATGCACCGCAAAAAGGTAGCGGTGGCAGCAAGCCCAGAGGAGAAGAGCCACAGCGGCGGCCGGGGAGGGAAATGCACCGCAAAAAGGTCGCGGTGGCAGCAAGCCCAGAGGAGAAGAGCCGCAGCGGCGGCCGGGGAGGGAAATGCACCGCAAAAAGGTCGCGGTGGCAGCAAGCCCAGAGGAGAAGAGCCGCAGCGGCGGCCGGGGAGGGAAATGCACCGCAAAAAGGTCGCGGTGGCAGCAAGCCCAGAGGAGAAGAGCCGCAGCGGCGGCCGGGGAGGGAAATGCACCGCAAAAAGGTCGCGGTGGCAGCAAGCCCAGAGGAGAAGAGCCGCAGCGGCGGCCGGGGAGGGAAATGCACCGCAAAAAGGTCGCGGTGGCAGCAAGCCCAGAGGAGAAGAGCCGCAGCGGCGGCCGGGGAGGGAAATGCACCGCAAAAAGGTCGCGGTGGCAGCAAGCCCAGAGGAGAAGAGCCACAGCGGCGGCCGGGGAGGGAAATGCACCGCAAAAAGGTCGCGGTGGCAGCAAGCCCAGAGGAGAAGAGCCGCAGCGGCGGCCGGGGAGGGAAATGCACCGCAAAAAGGTCGCGGTGGCAGCAAGCCCAGAGGAGAAGAGCCACAGCGGCGGCCGGGGAGGGAAATGGGTTGAAGTCACCGCCGCCGCAGCAGCAGCGCTAGCAGCAGCAGCAGCAGCGCCCGCAAAGGCCCCTGCATTAGTGCGCGGTGGCTGAAAGGGCCGTGAAAGGTGTCCGCCCATGTCTGCCGATCCGAACCGGCGTCCCTGCCTCCGTTGCGAGGTAACGAGCCAAAGTGCCAGGACCCCTTTCCTGGAGCTTCTCCCATTATCACTACTTCATCACTGCCATCATCACTGTCACCGTCGCTGGGCTCGATACCTTCTCGGCTGCCGTCCGCGTCGCCACCGTCGATGCGGCTGGTGTGACCGGGAGGCGCCTGTGCTTCCACCACGTTTGTTTTCCAGTTCAGGCGTCGCAGCTCTTCGATGCAGCAACGGCGGCGTGGGGCCGTTGCCGTCCAGCAGTGCCTCTTCAGCATCTGTCGGCGCCGCCTCCTCATCCGCCGGCTGTACGAACACACTGGGACGGCACCTTCCCATGGGCCCCGTCGGTGCTGAGGGTGTATTAACCAACGTCCCGGTGCGGCCGGCGGAGACGCGACGTTTCGGTGCACTTCTGATAAAGGCAAAGTCCGCTAGGGGTCTTACTGCCGGCGCCGCCGCGGCGGCAGCTGCTGATAGCTTGCCGACGGCGCCGGCACTGCTGTCCAGCGAGCCACCCCTTCCCCGTTGCTGCAGTGCCTGTGAGGGCAGCGGAGAAAGCCGCCGTGCAAGAACAGAAATTTGACAAGAACTAAAAGATGCCAACGGCAAGACACCGACAGTGAGACGCCGACGGCGAGACGTCCATGGCGAGACGCCGACGTCGCATGCGGCACAACAACAAAAACCCACAACAGACAACAGCGCTTTACAACCAACTAACGAACAAGACGTGACGCACTGCAAAATTGTACAATGACGTACATAAGGCAGCGTCAACAAGGAAATGCACAGCACAGACAAGGGATGCGTTTAACTAGCGCGTGACTCACCGGAGGTGCGACAAACCGTGACGTGGAAACGCCGACGGCAAGACGCCGACGGCGATCAAAATGGCATGTCTTCCACGTCGACGGTGATGCTGATGGTGAAAATGACGGTGGCGGCCCAGACCCGGCAGGTGTTGTTGCAGCGAGTGATCAGGGGATTCAGGCGGGGATGACGGGGTTGCATACACACTACGAAACGGA